TAATAATAATAATAATAATAATAATAATAATAATAATAATAATAATAATAATAATAATAATAATAATAATAATAATAATAATAATAATAATAATAATAATAATAATAATAATAATTTTTATTTTAATAAAGAAGAGAATTATTTATTATAAATTAGGTTTAGGTTTTTATAAATAAATATTATAATTATTAATAATTCTCTTAAAAAGAAGAAGAAAGTAAAGAGAGAAGCTAGTTATAAAAATACTAATATTATAATATAGTCTTTATAGACCTACTTTAGCTTCTTAATAGCCTTAGACTAAGTATAAGAAAGGTAAGCTATAGAACCTAAGTTCTTAATAAACGTAGTCTATTTCCTAAGTAAAAAAATAATTTAGAAAAATAAGGCTTTTTATTTTATAATAATAATTATATTAGTTATTTAATTCATTCATATAAAATTACTCTTTATTGATAATTAGTGTTTGGTAATATTGTCCTAACAGACCCACCGCCAGTTAAGATGCGAATCGTAGCTCGAATGAAGTAATGACCTTAACCGCAACCCAGCTTCCTCGCGTCAAAATACTAGTTTAAAATTATTCCACATCAAGCCGCAAAAAAGCCGAACGAGACTAGCAATATTGCAATCTCTAAATAGCTTCCTCGATAAGACAACACGTGGGCTCGGCAAAATGGCGTTCGAAGAAACAGGCCCAAACACGAAGCGCTCTGGTTCACGCTCACGAACGCCACGGCCTACCACACCGCTGCGTCCCTCATCGCGCTCCTCAGTTCGTGATTCAGGGAGGACCGCAGGTGATTGCGATGCGTCTTTTCCGCTTAACACGTTCGAGACAGCATTTGCAGAACTCTCTGATGCAATGGCGGACCTGGAGGCAAACATGATGCATTTTCAGCTCATGCATGAAAGTTTGGCGCGCTTCAGCGAATGTTTTGCGAGTTTTTTATACGGGCTCAACATGAACGCTTTCTGTGTGGATTTTCCAGAGGTATTGTCGTGCTATTGAAGTCAATTTCCACCACTTTACTGCATTTCTAACTATTTCGTATCAAGGCACCCATACTTGAATCGTTCCGGCCCAGTCGATCTCAAGATCAGCTGTCTAAGACACAAAAGACAGAACTCGAACCAGAGATCACTTTCATGTCAGCTTTACCCGCGTTCGTTGACGCTGCTGTGTCTGCGTGTTATGCTACACTGAATGATCTTGCATCGCTGACTACAAAGCAGGACCACCGAGGTGTCCTTCATTGAAGACCCCCCTGCATCAAGCAAGCCAAAGACACGAACTGTGCGGCAAGGACATCGCTATTCGCGCTTGCCATCTGCACGAGGTAGCACAGCTAGAGGGCGAGCGACAACTCGCGTCCAAGGTCGACCGAGTGGGTTTGCACGAGCGAGAGGTCGAAGTCTAAGGTGACAAACCGCAGAGATGGCCCAAGAACTACGAAACCACAAATGTGCATCACTCATAATCATGCTGTCATGTTGGAATCCTCGCCAGTTTGTGGCTCCCTGAGCGGTTCTTCTATCGCATTGCATGGGGGAGGGATGTATCTGCCTCCTGGAAGTCTCGCGATTTCGGTCTCTTCGCGTAATTGCTTCAGGCTATGGCAGGATCTAGTCAGTACCAAGCATTCCCGTGCAGAACATGGCTGAGAACAAACCGTCGCTTATGAGGTTTTCCCTGGACATGGGCCACCAGTGCGGCATTCGTGTCAAACCACTTGGCGCATTGTATACAATAATTTCGACCGAGGCCGGGCAGGTCTTCCTTCGCCTTGGTGTCTTTGAAATGGCCGAGATGCTTTGCAGATGCCAAGTCTGCTTTTACTTGATCAAGATCCCTAGCAAAATTGTTAGCCTTGTGAAGTTGGCAATAAAAAGAACCTGCACCTACCGCGTCTTTCTCCTCGTCTTTGTGACAGTTCTTTTACTCGAAATGCCCATCCTGCTTGTTAAAAAAAAGAAAAAAGTTCGAAACGGTATAATTTGCCGCCTTCGCACTGAATGCTTGATTCGACGGCGCGCCAGTGCATCTTCAGAAGTCTCCTGAGCCAAATTCTTTGGTGGGTACTTGCTTATCGCGATCTGTGTAGCCCAAGTCACGTGGAGATTAAAGTGGCAAATAGGCTATTCATTTACTTGAAGTTGCTGGCCGAGGGCCATCTGCCAGTGTATCCACAGTAGCTCCCAAGAAATACTCGCACCCAGCCAGTCATGTTCCGAGCATTACATTCACGATGTCACAACGTGAGTGACTTGGCGGCTCATCTGATTACACCAGCTCTATAATATCGTATTTCTTCATGTAACTATGTACTCAGAAAGGAAATACTTGATCAACTGCAGCGCAATTTTATTCACCTGCTCTATTCGATACTCTTCGCTGTGGTGCGCATCAGCTCAGCGTAATGCCAAGTAGCAGGTTGCCCCGCTACGAAGGATTAATCTAGCGGCTCGACAATGATTGTCTATTATTAGCCCTGTTTGTCTAGAATCTGATTTGTCCAGATGGGGCTGGTGCACTTTATCTCCTATCATAAGTCCTTAGAAGCGTCGGGGACCGAGAGTGGAACACCGACCAGCGTCACGGAACGAAGGCTTTACTAACGGTGACCGACACAAGCCCGGTTCAACCGAGGTCAAGGTTGGTCTCCAGACCCAAAAAAGTTTTGTAGGGTGCACAGTCTCTTTCATTCTGCGGTGGGCTTACGCGCTGGATCACTGTTGAATGGTCCATCAGCTCTGCGGATGCTGAAATCCGACCCAAGGCTCTCTCCTTGGAGCACACCGCAGCGTGCATGTGGCTTAGTTTGCGCATCCGTTACATCGGGGCAACGAAGTCATTTGGCGCGGCCGTTTTCATATGCTGCAAGTCGATTACCGACCGCGTGTTCTCGGACTCTCGATGACAATTGCCTTGCTTGGGAGCCTCCCTGTGTGCCTATCTACCAGAAGCAAGATGACTAAAAATGCGAATAACTCCTAAAATGCACCTGTTTCAGAGACCTGCGTGACGTTAAAATGATTTCAGAGCTGATATGTACTGATGTTAAAGCATGTGCTTGTTGTAAACACCCACCAGCTTGGCCGTATACTCGGCGCAGTGGAAAGACATGACCCCGGCTCAGTTCCACATAGCCATGACGAAAGCGACGCGAGTATTATTTTCGTCTGTGCCGTGACTGGCTGGAACTCACCAAAAGCCGCAGAGGATCCCCACACACGAGCCTGGAGTGCAACCAGTCAGTGGATCCACCGGGGCCATTCGGTAGCATCGAGGTGTTCCCTCAAAAACACCTCCTCTCCGCCATCGCCTTTCTCTCTCTCTCTCTTTCTCTGTTATAGCTGTCCTCCCCCCACACCAGCTTGTCAAATTGATATCCTCCTCGAGTGAAAGGCCTCGCTCGTGTGACGTACCAGACACTCTCTCCTCTCTCAATTGGCCTAGCATGCTTGCCTCTAGACAGCTTCTGGGCAATGTGGCCCGCAGCCGCGCCTTTACTGGCACCGCTGCCGGCATCCGTCGCCTCGCCACGGTATCCGACTCTCCCTTAGACAGAAAGGTAAGTTGCGCAAATTGAACATGCTGCACAATCTCCCGCAATGATGCGGCGCAGTGCAAAATCGTACATCAGTACTCCATTCTTGGGATGGTACTAACCAGGTCTTGAATACAAAGGTTCGCCAGAATAATTGGGAAGAGAGCAACTTCATCAACTACAAGAAAATGTCCGAGAACCTCGCTATAGTTCGTGGCCGTCTTAACCGACCGCTAAACTACGCTGAGAAGATCCTCTACTCTCATTTGGATGACCCCCATGGCCAGGAAATTGAGCGTGGCAAATCGTATCTCAAGCTTCGTCCCGATCGCGTTGCTTGTCAAGATGCCACCGCGCAGATGGCCATTCTGCAGTTCATGTCCGCTGGAATGGACGCTGTTGCGAACCCTAGCACTGTTCACTGCGATCACTTGATTGAGGCCCAAGTAGGCGGCAGCAAGGATCTGGCTCGCGCGATCAGCATCAACAAGGAGGTTTACGACTTCCTATCGAGCGCCTGCGCGAAGTATAACATTGGGTTCTGGAAGCCCGGCTCCGGTATTATCCACCAGATTATTCTGGAGAATTATGCCTTCCCCGGCGGGCTTCTCATCGGTACCGACTCCCACACCCCCAACGGCGGCGGTCTTGGTATGGCTGCTATCGGTGTTGGTGGTGCTGACGCCGTTGATGTCATGGCCAACCTGCCTTGGGAGTTGAAAGCCCCGAAGGTTATCGGCGTTAAGCTGACGGGCGAGCTTTCCGGCTGGACATCGCCCAAGGATATCATTCTCAAGGTCGCCGACATTCTTACTGTGAAGGGGGGCACCGGTGCCATCGTCGAGTACCACGGCCCTGGTGTTGACAACATCTCGTGCACCGGCATGGCGACTATTTGTAACATGTGAGAGTTTTCTGTGTTTTTTGTCTACACTCTGTCTGCCTTCTCCTTACCACTTCCACATCTTGCGAGTCTGTCATTTCTGCTACACTACATCGTCACTATTCACTCTCCCGCTACCCCATGTAGTCTCTTTTCTCTTCGCACTCGTCTTTCGGCTTTCGTTCCCATCTTTATGGCTCTGATTACCCTTGGTATTTTTTGCCCTTATTCTGATTCATGTTCTGGCTCTTATCTTGACTACCTGACCGAGATTATTTACCTGCCAACCTGATGGCTAACAGTCGCTTAGGGGTGCCGAAATCGGTGCGACTACCTCTGTTTTCCCCTTCAACGATCGCATGTACGACTATCTTGTTGCCACCAAGCGCAAGGACATTGGCGACTTCGCTCGCGTCTACGCGAAGGAGCTCCGCGAAGATGAGGGCGCCGAGTACGATCAGCTCATTGAGCTCAATCTCTCTGAACTCGAGCCTCACATCAACGGTCCATTCACTCCCGACCTGGGAACTCCCATCTCAAAATTCAGCCAGGCTGTTAAGGAGAATGGCTGGCCTGAGGAGCTCAGGGTCGGTCTGATTGGCTCTTGCACCAACTCTTCCTACGAAGACATGTCCCGCGCTGCGTCTATCGCTCGTGATGCTCTTGACCACGGAATCAAGGCCAAGGCTGCTTTCACCGTCACCCCTGGATCTGAACAAATTCGTGCCACCATCGCCCGCGACGGTCAGCTTCAGACATTTGAGGAGTTCGGTGGCATTGTTCTTGCTAACGCTTGCGGTCCTTGCATTGGTCAGTGGGATCGTACCGACGTCAAGAAAGGTGAAGCCAATTCCATCTTGTCTTCTTACAACCGTAACTTTACCGGTAGAAATGACGGAAATCCTGCAACTCACTCCTTCGTCACATCTCCTGACCTCGTCGTTGCTCTCACTATCGCTGGCTCTCTCCACTTCAACCCTTTGACCGACAAGCTGAAAGATAAGGATGGCAATGAATTCATGCTGAAACCTCCCACCGGGAACGGTCTCCCCACTGATGGCTATGACCCTGGCAACAACACTTACCAGGCCCCTCCCAAGGACCGCTCTACTGTCAACGTCCAGGTCGCCCCTACCTCGGATCGTCTCCAAGTTCTCGAGCCTTTCCAGCCTTGGGATGGCAAGGATGCCAAGGATATACCCATTCTTATCAAGGCCCAGGGAAAGACCACTACCGATCACATCTCCATGGCTGGTCCCTGGCTGAAGTACCGTGGCCATCTTGACAACATCTCCAACAACATGTTGATTGGCGCCATCAATGAGGCCAACGGTGAGGCCAACAAGATCAAAAATTTCACTACAGGTGATTGGGATGCCGTGCCCGCCGTCGCCCGTGATTACAAGAAGAAGGGCATCAAGTGGGTCGTTGTTGGTGATTGGAACTATGGCGAGGGTAGTTCGCGTGAGCATGCTGCCCTTGAGCCCCGCCACCTCGGTGGCCTGGCCATCGTCACTCGAAGCTTTGCCCGTATCCACGAGACCAACCTGAAGAAGCAGGGCATGCTTCCCCTCACCTTCGCCGACCCCGCTGACTATGACAAGATTAAGCCTGATGACAAGGTTAGGCCCATTCACGCAGCGCTGTAGAAGCTTCGCTAACCATGTAACGCAGGTTGATATCCTTGCTACCCAGCTTGCTGTCGGCAAGCCCATCACCATGGTGGTCCATCCCAAGGACGGCAAGTCCTTCGAGATCAGCCTACAGCATACCTTCAACGAGGCCCAGATCGAGTGGTTCAAGAATGGCAGTGCTCTGAATACAATGGCCGCTGCCGCTCGCCAATAAAGCAGAAATTTTTCTTGAAGGACTTATACCTCGGCGCTCTGATTTGGAGGATTGTTTTACGTTGTGTGGACAATGAGAAGGAGTTGATGGCTCGGAGTGGTAATGACAGAGAAATGTCACGCCGCTTTGTTTTTTTGTCTTTTTCTTGTCTAGGAGAACCTGGACCTGTCATTCTATATGTACCAAAAATAGCACTTTTTAAGCAGTAGTACGCAGTCATTGGCATGTGACGATCCTTGGTACCCACCTAATTTGCACGTCCTCTGCTGTTCCAGCATCGTTTACAATCACCCCAGTCTGTTCTGTGGCCATATCCATCCATGATTGAGCTCACGAATTTCGTGATCTCTATTGTGAAGTTCAAGAGCTCCAGATATGTAATATTGTTCGCTTCAACCTTCAGACTTGTGGCTCGTTATATTATTTACTATAAAAAAGACTATTAGTAGATTATACTTATATAAAAAACTTATTTAGATTATACTTATATAAAAAACTTATTTAGATTATACTTATATAAAAAACTTATTCAGATTATACTTATATAAAAAACTAATAGTAACCTGTGGGCGATGCCCTGCTGTGGCCAAGCTGCACAAGTCACGTGTCGATAGGCTCGTGGATAAGCATCGACCCCTGGAACAACTCTGTCAACAGTAATACACTTATGATGAACCCAGCCCTCTGACTGTGGAAAACATTCGATATTCTGGGGGTCTTGCGTGCTGTGACACTTGCGCCGGCGACATTGGCCTGTCTATTAGCTCACTCTGTCGGATCCAATCTGGCAAAGTTCTATTAATCAGCTATGCCGACCGTTCGTGGCTTTAGCACCGTCAAAGCACGCTCATACATCTATCGCCTGCCTCTGTTTACAAGAGCTATCATTCTGATAATTTTTGTCTTCTCACTTCTCAGCCTCCCTGGAATATGGGATGTACAGGCATGGGGGTCTTTGATTCCTAGCGAAATATCTCTCTTCGCAGGTAGGCACTTTCGCTGCAAGATAGTTCCAAACAGCCGCTGATCATTTGTAGCTCATCGCATCAATACATTTCCGCTTATCCATCTCAACATCTTGCACGCGATCTTGAATATTGTTGCGTTGACGCCATTGATGGAACGCTTCGAAAACGAATACGGAACCCTAACATCGCTGGCACTTTTCTTCGGGCGTGAGACCGTTACCTCTGGAGGCCCTATTGGCAGATATCGTACTGACTGAGGCAGCTTTAACAACGGTCCCGGCATTGTTATATCTTGTCATTGAGTCAGGCATTTTGCGACTGAACAACGCTATCATGGGCGCAAGGTATGTCCGAACAGCGACTCGTTATTCGAATGGCTTCACAGCTTAATATAAACTTAGCATATGGGTCTTTCTACTTCTCGGAATGGAGGCCATTCGGACCTATCGATCGAATCCCCACCTTGTAATCGGCACTCATCATATCCCGACCTGGACGATTCCACTACTTTTGACCTTTGTGATAGCAGCGCTGGTCCCAAACTCAAGTCTGCTTGGGCATCTATGCGGTCTTGCTGTTGGATATATCGGTCAGTATCTACCCTCGAGCTGCATTGCCTCAACTCACAAAGTATAGCTGGCCTTGGCTATGTCAAGTATATTGCGCCTCCTGAGTGGGCGCTGCGATGGCTCGAGTCGAAGCTCGACCTCCTTGCGATATTGCCTCATTTTGTCAGTGTAGACCAGAAGACATATGGCAGATTTGGTGTTTTGCCTTCTATTAATCGCATGGGTGGAAGTCCAGCCACGGAATTGGTTGGTAGCACACAGCGTCTTGGGCCTTAAGTCTTACATTCTTCGATCAGGGGTGGCATACTCTCAATAGGTACTTTGTTCTGACGCAGGTTTATTTCGGAGCATCTTTGATCGGAGTTTCGGCGCTGGGTAATGTGCATTATCAGAGCGATGTGCCGTTCTATACGCATGCTTTCACGTTGGTTAGAAACAGTTAATTCTGCACTAGGTCTCAATTCAGTTGCCATATCTCGAAAAGCAGGTCCCATGTATTACGTCTTTTCTCATGTCTTGCCCATATGATGCACGTCGTTGGAGCAAATCTAGGTATGTATGTATTTCTTTATGAGTCTACTCAGGTTGTCAGCTATCAACAAAGTGACCATCGAGAAGGCAAGGTATTACGGTGGTTAGGTACCTACATCCCTTGTCACTGGGAGCCGTTAATTATGTGACCACTGCTCCTCAGGGACTGTCAATCATATTTTGTTGTGGCTGGTAGGGTGGCTGGTAGCTGTTCACGTGTGTGTCTTCCACCACATTTCGGATCTATTACTGTCCCTGTAATCGTAAAGCTATCACGATGATTTTATTATAGAAAAGGGAGGTGTAGAGGGCGGCTTGAAGGGGACAGAAAGGTCACTGTTGTGGTGTATTACAGTCGCTGGATGAAGTTGCTTCCCAAACAAACTTAGGTGACCAGCACAGTATCTCTCGTGATTTATAACAGCTGATTAATAGGTTTATGAAATAATTGATATAATAAAGAGTAATTTTATATAAAGAAGTCTTATTAATTATATATTACCTTATTCTTCTTTATTTTCTTTATAAAGAATTATCTTTTTTTATATTTAATTTTTATATAATTTTTTATAATTAAGTTTATTTTACTTTATAATTATTATTAATATTTTCTTAATTATAATATCTTTATTATACTAATATTTATTATTAAATTTTATTTAATATAGTTAATAAGCGAGTTA